CGGGACCCAAAACTGCTCACAATATTCCAAATTTGGTCTGACCAGGGCTTTGTACAGCCTCAGCAGTGCATCCCTGCTTGTTTATTTTGGCTTCTCGAAATAAATACGGCCATTGAATTTGCCTTCCTAACTGCCACTGAATCTCCAGTCAGAGTGAGTTTTTCCCTAAACAGAGGGAGATGGTACTAGAATCGGATATGGGGATGTTATCGGGTGGATTTGGTGGCTAATGCGTAAGGTATGGCTAGATGGCCTGATTTGAACCACACTCTTTTGAAATTTAAAACAGAAAGTAAGTTCTGTATGGGTTAGATTATAGGATATGGTAATAATTTGGTATCTGGTTGCTATTAGGAGGAATTGCTAAATTTCACATCCTGCATGAATGCCCTCTCTAATAACTTAATCTCAAACGTGCGAGCAAAGAGAGATGTGAGCCTTCCATGCTGAATTAGAAATGCACATTGTAAGCTACAGCCAAGAAGCCAACCAGGCCTCAGGCATGGCAGATAGTTAAATTATCCTGAACAGAATTCACGCTGTGGCCTGTGCCCTTGTAACAACAATTACTTAGACATCTTGTTGTCTGACAAGTAAGAACGACAGGGATGTGAAAGAGCTAAATGTTCTGATTCTTACTGCACTGTCACCAGATCACAGTTAATAACACACTGAAAAAGGGAAAGTCTGCACATCTGTCAGAATTACATGAATAGGAACCATGGCTTAATACATACAAAGAATCACAAAATATTTAGTAAATAATATTAAACTTCAAATAAATTTTAAAATTTCTTACACATGTCTAAAATGTTTTGGAATAAACACATCTGTGCAACATTGAAAAGTTCTTTAACAACAACCTTTTGCAGTGACTAGTTAAACACACACCTTTAATAGTCGGTTAAAAACCAAAAGAGACAAATCAGAGACAAAAATAGAAATTGCTTGAAAAGCTCAGCAGGTCTGGCAGCATCTGCTGAGAGAAATGAAAGTTAAAATTTCAGGTTGAGTGACCCCTCCTCAGAACAGATTGCTGTCTTTAAGCATCTCCAACCACGTGAATTTTCATCAACAGTGGGCTCATACTTGTTTAATATGTCACATAGTCATTTGTGGCCCCAGCGAGAAAGTTTCTATCTCCAAGAAGAGAGAAGAGCCCCTCAGGCAGCACCTTCGAAACCCACGACCAATTCCATCTAGAAGGACAGGGCAGCAGATACATGGGAACACCACCCCCTGCAAGTTCCCCTCCGAGCCACTCACCATCCTGACTTGGAAATATATCGCCATTCCTTCACTGTTGCTGGGACAAAATCCTGGAATTCCCTCCCTAAGGGCATTGTGGGTCTACCTACACACATGGGCTGTCGTGGTTCAAGCAGGCAGCTCACCCCGACCTTCTTTCCCATTAGAGATAGGAAACAGCCCCAAAGTTCAAGTCCCAGAGCCAAAGATTGGGCAGTTGTAAACATCAGAATAGTTGTGAGATTTAACAAGCTAAAACAGCATCACATATTAACAAAGGGTTCTGCATTCCCAATCTAGTCCAACTAGAACTGCCTGAGCAGTAGTTGCATCCTTATGTAGAGGTAAGACATGTCAGCATTTCCCTACCCCACACTTACAATGGTGGCCCTGCCCTAGCCCAATGGTTCCAGGTGCCACCCTGAACTTTCCAACTCTCCACTTCCTTCTGCTTCTTTAAGAATTTTCGTACAATTCATTTTTTGACCCCAAATAAAAAAGATTTTCAAGGTGAGTGCCACATGTGTGAAGGTAAAACTATCAAACAAAAAGGAGTTATTTTTCTCTTTGCTACAGGTGATCCAATTATTTTGTGAGATTTTAAATTGAATGTTTTTGCCTGTGGAAAAAAGCAGAACTAAAAAAATCATCAAGGAATCAAATTGGAAATTTGGAAGAAATGTCTTTATCCGAAGAGAAGTGAGGATGTGGAACCAGTTACAGCAAGGAGTGGGCGGAGTGAATCATGTCAATGTATTTAGGGCAAGATATACGCAATCGTGAAGGACAAAGGAGGAGAGGGTTACACAGATAGATTTATCTGACAAAGGGTGAGAGGGATCTGTGTGGAACATAGACATCTACAAAGTCTGTTTTTCCTCAAATGGCCTCTTTCTGTGCATGATGTTTTGTGCATTTCTCTTTAATTCAGTATGAAATCTCCATATTTGATTGGTGTCTGCTTTTATCTCATTTCACTGAGGTTGATATAAATGTAAGTTCTTCTTCGGCAATTGCGGCTGTTAATAACTTTCGTTTAAATCAGAAGGCACATCAAGGAAGAAATACAACAAGATTCAAGTTTGAGAAGAAATCTGATTGCAAGGAGGGTAGTGCAGTACTGCACAATGTTGTGATGGCATTGCCTCACCCAACAATGGATGTGGTGCAGACATAGCCCTTTGGAAGATCTGGAGAACAGACCCCACCCACACCCATCCCAGACAGAGAATAAGGGTGAGAGGTCGCTGAGCAGCTCTCCCAATGAGCTCTGCATTCAAGCATCATAACATTCAATTGTACTAAAACCAAAGTACGGAGGACCCTGGAAATTTGAAATAAAAACAGAAAATGCTGGAGAAACTCAGCAGTTCTGGCAGCAGTGGAGAGAGAAACAGAGTTAACATTTTGAGCCCAGTATGACTCATTTTCAAAATATTAAGTCTGGTTCTCTCTTCACTGATACTGCCAGACCAGCTGAGTTTCTCCAACATTCTCTGTTTCATAATTTCTCAATATTGTTATTTATTATGATAATTATTGTTTATTACTGTTATAGGTATTTTCAAATCAATCTGTTCAGAATTGCTATTACTCACTGTGAGAATATGTGGGACTTGAACACAAGCTTCCTGGCTTAGATGTTCATAATGCTCTATTATTATTGCTGAACTGCCATTTCATTTCACTTTTATATTTAATGTAAAAATAGACTGGCGGAGTATTCACATTTAATTCATTAAGTCCCATGGTGTTAAAATCTCTACATGTTTGTCATTTCTTCTGACCATTATTTTTCAGGAATGTCTCTGTGTAGAATATGAACATGCAGCAATTAAAGGAGAGTGGCAGCAAACGCTCGTCAACTCTCCCTGCGCCCAGTATCGTGTACTTGTGGAAACGGCTTGGCTAATCTTTCCTGTGCTAACTGTGAGATTGTTACTCTCTTTGGGAAACAGCACTTGTTGAAGGATACATGATGGCACATACTGTTGACATTTCTAATGAGGCAATGCTGCATTATGCATGTCACTGCTGGAGGGCAATGTGTATGGACCTGGGTAAATTCCATGCTGCTTTACACTTCACTTCCCATCATAACAAATATAAATACATTTGCATAACCTTTATTTCTACATCATTAACAATGTCTTACTCACATCTCTCAGTCTAGCACCTTCTGTTTTTAGGGTTTAAAATGGGACACATCCACAAATTAATATTCCAGTCATGTTTTTCTTTAAGGAATGAACCTGCTTCCAGATTTCCAGAACGGTCCAGTGCGTAGTTGACGCGGGTTTCACTCTTTGAGTGATGTGTGGCTAATCTCGTCTCCTTCTTCACATGTTCACCTTGACCATTCTCAGATTCTCCATTACTGACAATACTCATCAATTACTCAAATTTTCTTCAATTGTCATTGAATCACCATCATATCAATGTACAAAATCCACACCTGAATTAGTACAACTTAGGTTGTTGGGTGGTTCATTAGTAACTTAGGAAAGGTTAAAAACTCATTGCTGCAGATAAATGACTCTTCAACTGTTGCCCTTAAAATTTCATTGTTAAGAAGCAAATGTCTCAAGTTCTCACATTGCTGTCAGCAAGTTCTGAAACTGAAGTGAAAATATCAATTTTGCCCCTAAAAATCTAACTCCACAATACTACATCAGTCATATAAGATTGAGTAACATCCATTAACTGTTTAAGGACTTGCATTAAAAGAACATCTTACAAATCAGTTACAGATTATTGGGTTATTAAATTCATCAGTAAAAAGAGGCCACTTACAAGAGAGAACAATATTTTAACACTCACTCCTTAAAGCTTCTCTTTTCCAGCCATTGATACTGTCAAATGTTGAGGTGACAGCTGCATAGGGAATCAGACTGTCACCTCACTTTACATAGCTGCGTGATTCAGTAGGTGCAGGATCTAAATAATAATTTTTGATCTAATTCAATCCTCTTTGATTTTTTTCATTTCTCCCTAGTTTGCAAGTAGTACTAAGCCAAAACAAAGACTTACTATATCTTTTGATTTGAAGATTTCAGACTTTAGAGTTTGCAAGGAGCCAACATATAGTTTATTGTCGACAGCTGCAACATGCCTCTGTGGTATGTCATTCTAATCTTTCATGTTCACTATTCTCAAACCATTTGTCACGTGGCTAGGCAAGACACACTGAGAATGACACTTGACAGAACTCTACTGTTGTCTGTAGGCAATGTATAATAGCCTTCAATAATCTTCAGAAAGATTGATCTGATTTCACATGGTTGAAGGTGAATTGGTGGTTTTCTTATAACGTCAACATTGAATACTTACTTCCCTGCCTTAAGGTAAGTGCTTTAGATAAAAGCATTTCTAGCAGCAAAGGAACGAATGAATTGTTTTTAAACCAATGACTGCACTGTAAGCTGCAAACCCGTTTGCATGAGCTATTGCTTTTCGCACTGTATTAATTATACTCTTCAGAGATGCAACCAATAGAGGTGACTAAACATCATCAAATTTTAATGTATTAATTTACCTACTTTAATGACAATTCAGCTCAGTTCCCTTAAGAGCGATGCAGTTAAAGCACTTTCTCCTAATGATGATGCCAGCTTAGCAGCAAGCAGCAGGTGGAAGAATCCAGAGTCGAACATGTGTTGAAGGATAGAGACTGGATAGAGAGCCTCAGTCAAGGTGCCGACATTCATTGTGTGTTTTCATGTTTAGACTGAGCCAACAAACAAGGAAAGTCCATGGAGCATAATCACATTTTCAACACCGACAGTCCCCTTCCCTCCCATGATGGGGAGCACGCTTGTGGTTTAGAATATGTACGTGTTGCCTACTACAGTCTTCTGCTGTGCTTAGGTTTACCAGGTGAGTGCACATTTTTATCTAAGAGCAGGAGCTCAGTAAAAGACGTTCGTACTTGAAATGTTATCACTGGCTTCACATTTATTCAAATGATAGTTTAATGAAACAGTAAAGAAATGATAAACCCATTATCTCAGAATAAAAAAAATCCTTGTTTCTCTAAAGGTCTTAGTACATCTTAAAGAATTATCTAAATCACATCTTTCAATTTCTTTCAAATATTTTATTGTGTATTTAAATTCAAAATCATTTATTTGGAACATAATTTGCAAAATATTAGGACAAAAGGAAATCCCCTGTTTTTACTTAATGCTAATCCAATTTAAAAAAAAGGATAACTGTAACGAAAATTAAGTCGGAAATGAAACATTGTGAGGTCATTGTGTTTCCTTTGTGAGCTCGAAATGAAAGGACCTTCTCTTAATTCAGAACCTCAAAATATAACATTTAATTTGTAAAGTTAAAAACAGAGCTGTAGCTGACGGAAGGAGAAACAATTATCCTCTTTAATGTGTACATAATAAACTGCAGATATCATGATTTAAATTTCTGTTGAGTGAAGCACTTATTTTCTACCAACAGAATGAATGTTTAACACATTGAAATTAGAACACAGGCGCAAAATACATTTTCAAATGTTAAACAAAGGAGAAATAATATTTATGTATGTAATATAGTTACACATTAAGACAATAATTGTGAATGGAACCTATATGCATCAGTGTTCCAGATGTTTATTGGGAGTACAAATCCCCATCTTCAGGCAGGAATAATAACAGATAGGAAGGTAATTTATGGCTTAGGTGACAACTAAAGAGAAACGCTTCATAATTCCAACGTGTGCCTCAGCCTGGGAGCTGAGACCCACAGATTGCTGATCACAGCAGTTTGAGTAGGATACAGTCAATTCATCGAACCTTTTCATCAGTAAGTATAATAAAGTTAAATTAGTATTATTCAAATATTTAACAGTCATTTTGTTCATAAATGTGCTTATTTCATTGCACAGAAAATCACAGTAAAACTGGATTGTCTTTAGTGTGAGGCTCAATAACAAAATGAAAGAAATTAAATCAGTGTCATGATGAATTGATTTTTCAGAAGATGTTGTTCACAAGATACTTTATTGCTAGAGTGGAGGTGGTGGCTGCAGTCTGAGGGAGACAATTCTAACTTCCAGGCAGTCCTTTGGTGGAATATAGACGATTGGAGAGGCTGGCCTTGTCCTGCTTCGAGCTGGGACAGCTGTGTGGAAATTCAACCAAAGTGTTTCAAATCATGATGGGTTTAGAGTAAATTACAAGACTGTTTCCATGGTGAAATGAACAGTCACCAAATGACACTGGTTTAAGGTGATTGGCAAAGGAACCAGGACACAACCTGAGGACAAACCGTCTTGCACAGTGATGGTTAGGATTTGGAATGCACTGCTGGGTACGGTGATCGTTACAGATTCAATTGACATTACCAAAAGGGAATTCAATAAACTCTCAAAGGAGAAAAAATTGCTGGGACAGTGGGAAAGAGCTAGCAGTGGGAGGAATGGGATGGCTTTATGAAAGTACTAGTACACACTTGATGGACTGAAGATCTTCAGCATTTTACTTTGCTGTAATTTTATAATCCTGTAGTTCCAGGCAGAAACATGGCCCAGCTGGCTCTCGATCATGTTTCTGTGTCAAATGCCTTGATTAGATAACATTAGATGGGGGGAGAGGAACAGGACATTGTCCAGATTAGTAATGGACCACAGTATTCTTCTGGAGTCCAGAAAGACTCCACTTGGATCTGAATGGACACCTCTCTTCACCTTGTTCATCTAGTTTTACTGAGGGGTGGGGGAGATATTGAGTTCCTTCCTGTGGGGGTGGGAATGGGGATTTAAAGCTGCACCCAGTACATCAGAGGACCCTGATTTGCTTAGATCACTGAGGCTTCCATCTCATTGTCCATGAAAATGTAACAAAAACTAGGGCAGCAAGTGGGGAGAGAACAGGAATGTGGTAACCATGTCCTGTCACTTTAACTGGGGCAACTCCAATTCAGACAGAAAATGGAAGTATCAGGCAGTAGTCACATCATTGTTGACTGGCACAGTCACAAAGCACTGAATGGCCTCCTTCTGTGCTGTAAATATCCATGAGTCGATGAATTAAAATTGTCCATGAGGTGTTTAATAGAAGTCCCTTGGAGCAAATGAGCAACAAATCAGAATGAATTCTAAAGTCAAATAGAAATGCTGGGAATCCTCAGCAACTCCAGCAGCAACCCCATCACAAGGTGAAACATCGGGTGGCAGTGAATATCCTGATTGGTGGGTTGAAGAACACTGAAGGGACAGGGATACATTTCCAAGTCAGGATGGGGAGTGGCTTGGAGGGGAACTTGCAGGGGGTGGTATTCCTATATATCGCTTGCTCTTGTCCTTCTAGATGGAAGTGGCCGTGGGTTTGGAAGGTGCTGTTTGAGGATCTTTGGTGAATTTTTGCAGTGCATCTTGTAGATAGTACACACTGCTGCGACTGAACATCGGTGATGGAGGGAGTGGATGCTTGTGGATGTCGTGCCAATCACGTGAGGGTTGCTTTGTCCTGGATTGTGTCAAACTTCTGGAGCATTGTTAGAGCTGTCACTAATGCCTGCTTAAAGTCTTCCTTGCACAGGCCCTGGTATTCATCCAATGACTCCCCAAGCAGAAAGCCAAAAAGCAAACCTAAAAAGCAAACTCTAATGTTTGCTTAGAGGCACTCAGGGGTGCTCCCTGCCTGATCATCCGACTACTGAGAAACACTCCCCACACCCGTGTTTCTGAATCCTCTGTCTCATGGTTTCAACCCTACAGCTACCAATGCTCCCCACCTTCCCCCATCTCCACCTCCTTGCCCACACTCCATTGTTGTTCTGCCTCTGCGTCCATGGCAACTCAGGTGGGTGTAGTACCACCAGCAGCCACTACGTCCTTAACAGCACTACTGAGCAATGAAGAGCTGCTGTCCTTTGATTGGCCAGCAGTTCCCAAGAGGAGTCTTTGATCATGGGGAAGGTCTGTCCTAGCCAGTTAACTACCCAATTAACTACATAGTTAACCAATCAGTTCACTATGCAAATAACTGCTCAATTAATTACCCTGTTAACTGCCCAGTTAATTATCACGTTAACTGCCAGTTAGCTATTTAATGAACTACCCAATAACCCAGTTAACTATTCAAATGACTGATTAACTACCCTATTCAATTAACTACCCACTTGGAATTGAATGCAATGGAACTTCCTGAAAAGAGGCAGTGGGAGGTCTGTTTTGTGGCACAGTGGTAGTGTCCCTAGCCCTGGACCATGGGGCCTGGGTTCAAATCCTATCTGCTCCAGAGATATGTAATAATATCTCTGAAAAGGCTGGTTAGGGGAAAAAAGTTTAAAAATTTTAAAATAATTCAAGAAAAGAGATAGTGTGGAGTTCACATTGGCCACAGCAGATAGATCACAGCTGTTTAATATCACCTGTTAACATGTGTCTCTTTCCACAGCCGCTGCCAGAAGCCTGAGTTCCTGCAGCATTCCCAGTTTTTAATTCAGAATTCCAGCATCTGCAGCATTTGCTGCTAAGTATGAATTCTGTCATAGTTTTAAAACGACAATCATCTCTAAAACCTAACAAAATCTATACCCAAATTAGCAGAAACACTTCAAATGAAGCTGCTTCACATTTCTAATGATTGTTGTTAAAGAATTTTTTTTTTATACAAACCCATCTGTAGATGACAGAACGCTGAAAGACAGAAAGCAATTGAAACAAGAATTAACTTTGAATTTCATAAAATCTGGAACGAGAAATTGTTCTGATTTTGTAAAATGCTATCACAAGCTGTTTTACTGTTAATTTTGAACCATCGCACACAGTTACTTGAATTTAATTGGATTCGGAAACAGCATCTTCCTGAATGTTAACAGTTTGGTGTTTCTGTCAGATTATATAACTGATCTCATTTATAATTAACAACTGATCACAACGAAAGGTCTTAAATTTTATCACACCAACATATTGAACAACCTAATACATATCTAATATGGAAAATATACATTTAAAAATAATAATTGAAAATAAAATTTGGGCTACTCTGTACAGTTTTAGCTTTAAGGGAGGCTATGCTTGTTTTGGAGTTGGTATAGTGAAGGATCACTGGAACAGTGACTGGGATAAGAGGACTAAACTCTGATGAGAAGGTGAGGAAATTGGGTTTTTATTCTTTGGAGTATTGAAGTATGCGTGGTGATCTAATAGAACTTAGAACATAGACCGTAGAACTATACAGCTCAGGAACGGGCCCTTCAGCCCATGATGTTGTGCCGAACATGATGCCAAATTAAACGAATCCCTTCTGCCTGACTTATTCAATATCCCTCCATTCCTTGCATATTCATGTGCTTATCTAAAATGCCCCTATAGTATCTTCCTCCACCACCACCCTGGCAATGCATTCCACACTCCTGCCACTCTCTGTGTAAAAAACCTGCCCCTCACATCTCCTTTAAATTTTCCCCCCTCTCACCTTAAATGGATATCCCCTAGTATTAGACATTTCAACTCTGGGAAAAAGATTCTGACCGTCAAACCTATCTAAGCATCTCATAATTTTATAGACTTCTATCAAGTCTCCCCTCAATCTCTGCAACTCCAGAGAAAACAACCCAAGGTTTTCTAGCCTCTCCTTATAGGTCATACCTTCTAATCCAGGCAGCATCCTGGTAAACCTCTTCTGCATCCTCTGCAAAGCCTCCATATCCTTCCTGTAACATGGCAAGTAGAATTGAATGCAATACTCCAAGAGTGGCCTAACCAAAGTCTTATAAAACTGCAACATGACCTCCTTACACTTGTACTCAATCCCTGACCAATAAAGGCAAGCATGCCATATGCCTTCTTTACCACGCTATCTACTGTGTGGCTACTTTCAGAGAGCTATGGACTTGAACCCCAAGATATTTCTACATATCAATGCTGTTCA